GGTGTAACATGGTGTGTGGACATGTAAGAAAGAGACAAAGAGGAGGAATGGTCCTTGTTTGTTTCTGGAAATATAGATAGATTTGAATTTAAACTTCAAGTATTCTCTTTTTGTTTTTCCTACTATAGAAACCTCCATTAACAAAATGGAATTCATAGCTAAGCAGAGATCAGTGACTGCAAATGCAAACCAAAGAAGACCATCCTGAGACCTTGGTTGCAGATGGTGTATAAAAGTTATAAATAAATGAATAAATAAATATTGGATTTTTTTACTACACAACAGTAATTTATTTAAACTTAATACACTGCAGGGGATCTGCAATCACATTCTCCAGTTTCTTTGACTAGACTTCAAACAGCTACACAGTTTTAGCAATTTGGATCAGGCCCACTGGGAGAAGTTGGTTAATGCTCTCTGTGCTACTTCCTCCATTCCCTTGATGCTGCCATTAGCCATGGCTCCATCTTCCTCACCCCCTCCATCACTAATTATTACACTGATTTCATACTCCAAGAAAGCACACCACGACTTTTCCTGTCCATGTTACCTGCTGTAACATGCAGGTAGGTTCACGACAGAAGAACTACTCCCTTGCAATCCCATGCTGTGTAACACTGTATAGGTCAAAACTAGCACCCTGACTCTGTCTCAGAAACATACAGGAAGCCGGTGCAAGCAGGCCAAAATCAGTGTTGCATATCCAGATCTTCTGAACCCTGTTATCAGACTAGCTGCTGCATTTTGCACAATCTCCAGCTTCTGAACCATTTTCAAAGGGAGCCCCACACAGTAATCTAACTTGCAGCAATCTAACTTGGAGGTCCAGCTAGGGGCATAGCTGGACAATCAACAGAAGCTGGTAGAAGGCACTGAGACCACCTGAGCATCAAGTGACCATGGTAGTTCTAGGAGACCTTGGAGTTACAAACTTGATCTTCTAGAGGGAGAGCAACACCATTCAGAATAAGCTGAATAACTAGAACAGATTTAACACCTGCCATCTGATTAGTAGAACCGCCCACCAACAGCATCTTAGTTTTGTCTGGATTGAGCTTCAGTTTAACAGCCCTCAACCAGTCCACTGTTTACAGACAAGCACTGACTTAGCACATCCATGGCTTCAATTCCTGATACGGATGAAAATAAGAAATACATCTCTATGGCATCAGTGTACTGATGACAACACACTTTAGAACAGCCTATTTATGGAAACACCACAAAATCCTGATGATCCCATTCAACACTTTCAAGCAGAAAGTAACTATCAGTGTGGGGTGAGTGGGTGGGACTGAATCCCATGGAACCCAGACTAGCGAATCTACAGGGCCAAACAATCCCCCAAGTATCACCTTCTGGTGCTGACCATCAAAATTGAAATGAAACAGCTTCAGTACTAATTTTGGCCTAGTCTCAGTTCAGACATTAGCGACACACAATGACCTAAGGGTCAACACTATGAAAATCTGCTGTGAGATTAAGGTGAATTAACAGGCTCATGCTGTCCCAAACATAAGTCTTCATTCAGGGTGACCATGGATGTTTCCTTGCCAAAACCCATCTTGAACCTTAACTGAAATAGATCCACTTAATCAGACTCATACGATTCTAACAAGATAGCATAAATGAAAGGCTCATATGATTCTAACAAGATAACATAAAAGAAAGTCTCAAAACAGTCTTATTATCACTATGTTTGGTGACCTTGATACTGGTCAAATGAAAGAAAAGTCTTATGATTGTAAGTTGCACACCGACATGACTTCACTTGCCTCACAACCTTTCTGTGTGCGTGTGCATGTGTGTACACACACATGTCTAAATCCAAGTAAGCTACAAAGGAAAATCCACATTTTAGATTCCTATTATTTATCACCAGAGGAATATATGACTAAGGATGGATGAATTTACCAATTTCAGTTTCTCTCAGTTTTTTAGCTGTCTAATCTTAAGTTTGGTTTGTCTGACATTAAGAATTTCTCTAGCCTTAAATCTGTTCATGCTATACTTTGAGAATTTTCTTTTAATGAATCACATGAAAATTCATAAATATTATTTTCACTATCCATTCCTAATGTATGCATTTTGTATGCTTTTTGCCTAATATATAATTTTGCTAGCAACTTGCCAAATATGATGCATTTAAACATTACTTTCCCTAATATATGCATTTTTAAAGTATTTTTTAACTCCATTGCAAAATTTGGAGAAGTGGAAATTTTGAAGAACAACTGAGTTTTGGTTTGCATACTGGTTCAAAATACAACAATAGGTAAATCTGAATTAAAATGTAAACTATATTAATTTCTTTCCTATCCCTAATAGGAAACATGAGACAATGAGTTATATTTATCAGTAAATCAGCAGGGCATACAGATCCTAAATATTTGCGTCAGTACAACCAGCACAATCCTATCAAACTGGCCTAATATAGTGATTGGAGACTTGATGGAAACTTCAAAATTAGGCCACTCTTTTCCAACCAGAAATAGTATAATTACCCTGAAGTTAAATAATGGCAGTACTTACCGTTCAATAAATGAGATAGACTCTTTCACTATCCTGGATGCAGCAT